CCCCACCCCCACACACACACACTCCCGATGCTTTCCTTAACATTGGCCTGAGATTCCGGGAGTCGTGGGGTCAGAAATGTTTTCCCCTTGGGTCCTATGGCGACACTTAAACACATTTGTTTTGCTGTTGTAGGAAATGTACATAGCAGACGTGCATCAGTCCAATCATTTCTCCAGGTTCAAGTCAATGGTACTCTTCAAAGTGTGCAGCCACCCTCACTCCTCTTCCGAATCGTCCCTCCCCCGCTCTACACTTCCTGTCTAAACTGCTGGAGCCCCGTGGGCACTGTGGGATCATAGTGCAGACAGATCATAGCAGACAGGTCATCATAACAGAAAGATGAGGCTATTTGCTTCCATAACGATGTACAACCTCAGGACCCCTAAATGGGGTCACTGTGGAGACCGAATCCACATGATGGCAGGGGGGTTGTATCTTTTTGGTCTTTTGAGATACCGTTGCCACTTGGACCCCATGTAAATAGTTCTTCAAAGAGCACACTGCTCAAGACAGACATTAGGTACTACTCTACCTGAAGGGTTAAAGACGATCTCAGGGCAATAGTTTGGGGGGTTCATCCTGTCTCCATGGCTCTAGAGTCTTAAGTATAAGTGAATTGAACATGTTGTTCTGCATGTTTCCCCTTTTGATAAGGATTCTTATTTAGAACTCTCGATTAAAATGCACAGTAACAGTAACTGTAATGCACGATATGAATAAGTCATCCTCTGGAGGAAAAGCCCAAGCAGAAAGCATGGTACACAGTGTGTGACCCTAGTTACCTTCCCCCCCTTCCAGTCCAGCTGGTGGGGCAGGGACTTTCTTAGCTGACTCACCACAGCGGAGCTGACCTTCAGCAAGAGTGGTTCTTCACAACTACCGAATGGGACTCAATGAATCGACCAACAAAAAAAAGCATTTCCCTTGTTCATTTTAACACTTGTCAAGAAGCAATTCAGAAAAAAAATTAAAAAAGAAAAAAAGCCAGTCAGACTCACTGCAATGTGTGGAATTTATCAGACACTCGCCGTCACAGTGTAGCTTGACTGTCTTGCAGACAACTTCAATGGTACTTTTGAATTGGCAGAGGCAGCAGGTCATATGACTAGGTAGGATTCTGTAATAGGGAAACAAGGAGAATTAAACGAGTGGCTGAGGGGTTTCTTGAGTAGGTAGAAGCAGGCCCCGGCCAGTGGACTGTGCAAGGAAGAGGTGTTTTATTTAAATTTTTGGTGAAAATATATACAGCCAACTGTCCACCCATTCAACCTTGTCTACAGGTACAAAGGACCTTCAAAACATTCGTGGAAAAATTCCATGATCTTTTCACTGCCAGGAATTTTCTGAAGTCCCTGCAGATACTTCATTAACGTTGGCGTTATTCTTCAAATTGTACCCCCACTTCCTCTATCGGCTGACTTAAAGCCACCACCCACTAACAGCTCATCCGTGCTTTACAGCCACTGCTGTCAGTTGATCTCATGTGCAGAATTCTTTGAGACTGCGACACTCGTGAACATGCTACTCAAATTTTAGCTGAAGTGTGGTTTCATTTAAAGATGGCTTCAAAGAGTAATTTCAGCTCATGGTTTGAAGATTTTCTCAGAGTGATAGGTTCGGGGGTTTCCCGTGGTCTCTTAACTAATCAAGTCTGGATTCTGTAAGCATTTAAAATTCTGTTCCACACCCCCCTCCCCGCCCCTTGGATCAGGATTCACCTACTGATGCCTTGATCAAAGTGTTCAGTAATAACAGCCAGTTATCATCTAGTTCTTTTTTAAAAACTCATTTTATTGGGGTTGTACATCTCTTACCACAGTCCATCCATCCATTGTGTCAAGCACATTTGTCCATTTGTTGCCCTCATCATTCTCAAAACATTTACTTTCTACTTGAGCCCTTGGTATCAGCGCCTCATTTTTTCCCCTCCCTCCCCACTCCCCCCTTTCTCATGAACCCTGGATAATTTATAAATTATTATTATTTTGTCATATCTTACACTGTCCGATGTCTCCCTTCACCCACTTTTC